TCAGTCCTGATAACAGTCATTCACTGTTGTATCACAAGTGACCCTTCTGCATTTCATTTCATCAGCTCCGCCTAGACAGATTGGATAGTACTCACTGGAGAGTCTGCCTTCTTCCATGCCCCCTAGCTCTAGGTTCCCTCTTGAAAGCTTGTAAGCTAGTCACTTCTTGCCTTTGTAGTCCTCCACCCCAATTTGGGTATCCAATGTCCAAGTTGCCCATCTCTGTCTACTCTGTGTGTGGAGGGGGTGGGAATGTTTCTTGCTGTAAGGGTTTGTGCCCTCTTTTGGGTTACTGCATCCATAGGTGTAGGTTAAGTTCATCAAATTGTATCAGATCATTCTTTTTCTTTTTTTTTTTTTCCCCCTCTTCTTTCTTCTCCTGGTTGAGTTCTAATCATCCATTCATCGGGGCCAGGTCACGTGGGTACCATCTTCAAGTGTGAGTGTTCTTGTGCATATGCTCTCTCTTCCTACCAGCTGGTAGCTTCACTCTCCACTCTAGTCCTCTGTGGCCACGCCGCTGAACCTGGGTCCAGGAGTCTCCAGGTCTCCCCACACTGCTGGCCAACCAGGTCCCCATCTGGGTCCACAGAAGCCCACCGAACATTGTAGGGCTTAGCTTGCCGCTTCATTGCTGCTTTTACCCCACTTTCCCCTATCAGCGATGCGTGTGAAGACCCCATTTCTTGATGAGAAGTAATATTACACTGTAAGCAGAGTATGTATGTATGTGTGTGTGGTAAAGGTTGGGATGGGGTGGTGGATTTATTAGTGCAAGCATCTTTGAAAGCACAATAATCTACCTATACAAGTAAAACTCCAAGAACAGGGGTTCAGCTACTTTAGTATAACTGTTTCTCCAAAGCTCCTTTGAGACTTGTCTTTAAAATAAACATGCATTTTTCTTATTATAAAAGTAATTTATGATTATTGTATAAGATTTTGAAAATGTAGAAATGCAGAGAAAAAAAATACAATGGTTTATAATCTTATAAGGAGAGCAAGGTGGTCCTATAGGTTTGCACAGAGCTGCAAACCACAAGGTCAGCAGCTTGAGCCCACCAGCTGCTCTAAGGGTGAAAGATGAGGCTTTCTACTCCCACAAAGATTTACAGCCACGGAAACACCATACAGCGTGATTATGAGTAGATGCTGACTCCACAACACTTAACAACAACAATAATCTCACAACCCAGGATGAATACAATATTTCTATACATCATTTTAATCACTCAGTCAAGTGGTTAAATGACTGACTGACTGACCAACCAACATGCTTGCCTGCCTTCCTCCCTCCATCCCCTCTCTTGCTCTCCTTTGATCTCTCTTTTTCACTCATTCATGCACTTATTGAGCACATGCTATATGCCAGCACTGTTCTAGCTGCTAAAGATACAGTGCTAAGTAAGATAGACGAGGTATCTTCTCTTAAGGATTTCACATTCCAAAGGGGGATCATTTCAAATGGCAATAAGTACTTTGAAAACCATGAAATAAAGTAATAGTAATTTGTGGGGGAAAGTGCTTGAGATAAAATGTTCAGGGACAATACCAAGTAAGTAATACTTAAACTAAGGAGTTAGAAGAAACCAGATGTGCAAAGATCTGAGAGAAATGTGTTACAGGTAGAGGAAAAAAAACCAATTCCACCTCATAGGTATATACACAAGAAAAATCTAACCACACATACACACAGAAACTGTACATGAATGTCCATAGTGGCATTACTTATATAAGCCAAAATGGAATTAAAAAACGATGTAATTTTTTATGCCCTCTCATAAGTGTTAAAAACATGAGTTCACACTGATGTCTCCCGCTTCAATTCATCATCACAGAGTTCATTCTATAGTTTTCATTTTTCCTATATTTGCAGTTCTGTTTTGTAGTAGTAAAAAACTTGGCTTCCATTATCCTTAAAACATTAACTTATTTGATCAATTCCCTTGTGAGTAACAATATCCAATTATTGTTACAACTGTCTGTCTCTTCAGAGATGTTCTCCTCACTCCACTCAGGCCCCAACACCCTGTACTGGGCTTCCACGTGGATGGTCTCCTCCTCCACCCATGCTCCCAAATCCTACACGGGGATACTCTGCCATGTAAAAGCCACCCTCATCTTTCCAGGACTCTGATATGCAAAACAAAGTTGTCCCTCTGCACGGGCACCAACAGATTTCAACTATGCAACTACCTTGCCCACTGGTGTGGCAAAAAAAAGTCATTGAGCCTTAAGTCATGGTGACACCATGTGTGTCAGAGTATAACTGCGCTCCACAGGGCTTTCAATGGCTGATGTTTTGGAAGTAGATTGCCAGGTCTTTTTTTTGAAGTGCCTCTGGTGGGCTCAAATGTACAACTTTTTGGTTAGTGGCCAAGCATGCTAACTGTTTGCACCACCCAGGACTCCTCCTTGTATGGACACCCTCCTTTCTCTACACCAAGTTTCCCCTCCACAAGGACATCCTCTTTACCCTGGTCTCTGACACCCTGCACTTGGCTGTCCTATGTGCAAGAATGTCCTTACTTCTCATACCTGGTACCAGATACTCTCCTATGTGAACAACCTTCTTATTTCTTTTGAGCTCCAATGTCCTACACTGAAGAACCTCATATGGGTACATCCTGTAACCCTTTCAGGCTCTGATACCCAACTCTGGGCCAGAATGTTCTTCTTCCATTTTTAAAGCTTATGATAGTATTGATTTTACCACAAGTTGTAATAAGTCCCTAGCTTGCTTATGTCAAGGCATCCTGCAGGCACAACAGAATAAGCACAGGACAGCTAACTGCAAGGTTGGCAGTTCAAATCCACCAGTTGTTCCATGGGAGAAAGATGAGGCCTTCTAGTCCTGTATCCCATAAAGATTTATGGCCTCAGAAACCCTATACAGGGTCGCTATGAGTTAGAACCAACTCGATGGCAGTTGGTCTGGTTTATGGTCTGGTTTGTGTATCTCACTCATAGTGCTAGCCTAGTATGTGCTTTCATCTTTTCACTGCCTAAACAATTTTAATTAATTCCTTCAGATTCTGTTCAATGCCTTCAATTTTCACAGATTCTTCTAAGTTCCACCATATTGCCACAATATATTTTAATATTTCTTTGAAAAGTAATTTTCATATTATATCACTGTTTGTAAGTTTGTCTTCCCAGCCATAATGTGTTACAATATGTGTTTATTGCTTGATGAGGGTCAGACAAGTGTTACATTCATTCATATATTCTCAAAGCATACACAGTATACATGACATTTTACTATAAATATGAGGGGAATCAAAAAGTTCCATTATCTTTGAATTCCATTTTTCTGTGAACTTTTTGAAACCCCCTTTCATTGTATGTGTTTAATGTCAGAAATAATCCTAAAAGTCCATTCTTGTATTTTTAATATAGCTGTGATTAAATAATCCATAGTTGAATGGTTGTATATATAGCGAGGGGCCCTGGTGGCACAATGGGTTAATTGCTGAGTGGGAACCCACCAGCCACTCCACAAGAGAAGGAGGCAGTCTACTTCTCTGCAGATGCACAGCCTCAGGAGCCTTGGGCAGCGGCAGCTCCACTCTGCTGTAAGTTGGGTGCAAGTAGGTGGCAGTGGGTTTGGTCTTTCTTTCCTGGGTGTGGCACTGGAGGATAGGTACTGTACTGGTAACCACGGGTCAACAGTTCAAACCTACCTATTGCTCTTGGAAATCCTACACAGGGTCTCTATGACTCAGAACCAACACCAAGGTACACAATAACAACAACAGTTCCTTCTGTTAGTCACAACCATATATGGCTAGTGAGTACCTGAAACAAGTCTAATCCATAAATGTTATGTTGTACTGTAAAATAAGCACTAAATTTCAAGACTTCGTGAAAAATCATTTAAAGTATCACATTAATAATTTTTATACTGATTACATGTTGAAGTAGTATTTTGAAAATACTGGGTTTAATATTAATTCCACCCATTTCTTTTTACTTTCCTACTAGAAAAATTTTAATTATATAATATGGCCACTAGAAAATATGTCTCTGGACAGTACTATTCTACAAGCTTCTGAGTTAGTGATAAGGAACCAAAAGATCAAAAGATTAAGGGCTTGACATATAACTTCCTTAGAGCAAAAATGGATGATAAAAATCCTTGCATAGTTCTAAAACCATGCTACTTAGAGACATTCAAATTAATATTATAAGAAAGAAAGGAATGTGGACATCTAAGAATAAATATATATTATATAGTGCTTATGAGTCAGACTGTTAGTCTCACAGTCAGCAGTTTGAAACTACCAGTGGTTCTGCGGGAGAAAGAGGAGGCTTTCTGTTCTGGTAAAGATTTACAGCCTCATCTATACAGAGTTCACGATGAGTTGGACCCGATTCCACAGCACGTAACCACCACCAACTAGAACCACCATAATTTTGGTAAACTAATTATGTCTTTTTATGACATCCTTATGTAGCTCTGAGTTACGGTGTGGAGCTGTGGGTTAATGCGCTAGACCACAAAGTCAGCTTGAACTTCAAGTTCAGCGGTTCAAGCTCAGTAGCCGCTCCTCAGAAACTTTATACAGGGTCACTTAACAACAACAACAACAATGTAGCTCTACTCTCTAATACAGATCTCAAATTGTTCATGCATCCACAGAGGTGGTCAAAAAGTTATTTTGCTTTCAACTTGTTTCCCCTGTGGGTATTGATCTATTCCAAAGTTTATGAATTCCCCCACGACTCCCCACTTTTTATCATTTAATACCTTAATACCCTGGACTTGTGGTGTGGCGCTGTAGGATCAGCACTGGACTGTGAACCACAAGGTCAGCAGCTCAAACCCACCAGCTGCTCCCTGGAAACCCAATACAGGGTTGCTATGAGTCGGAACCAACTGACAGCATTTAACAACAGCATTTCTTATTAACGTCATTTAGTTACTTGTTCTATACTCCAATCTGAAGTAATTCTGGATTGAGAGAAATAAGCATTTAGTTAATTTTATTATTACTAACCTGCATTTCATATTTCAGAGTCATGTGGAAGCACCAGGATCCCATGCCTACCACTGAAAGTAAAACAAACAAACAATTAGCATGAAATTTCTTAGGGATGGCCACAGTGATTTGAGAAGACAGTAACATAGTTCAAAGCACTGAGTTTTAGGAATAAGAAAGGATATAAAATCTGTCACATCTGCCTTTTCTATCATAGCCATCCTAGTGGATGAGAAAGAAGTCATGGTGGCAGAATGATTACACCTTCTGCTGCCAACTATTAGGTTAGTAGTGTGATGCCAGTTTGGCTCTGTGGGAAAAAAACACCTGATAAGCCTAGAAACCTGCATGTTTCTAGAAACCTGCAACCCTAGAAATCACCAGTCTGTCAGTTTGTTGTACTGTGGTGCCTTGTGTGTTGCAGTGATTATGGAACCTACATCACCAGTATTTTAAGTACCAGCAAGGTCACCCATGGTTTCAGATGAGCTTCCAGATGAATACAGACGAGGAAGAAGGAGAGACAGACTGCTTCCAAATATTTAGTCACTGAAAACCTTATGAATAGCAGTGGAACATGTCAGACAGCACCAGAATATTGACTACTGAAGCACAATTAAGAGCACGAGAATATTGTCAGATAGAGGACCAGAAGATGAGCCCCTCAGGTTTGAAGTCATTCAAAATGCGACTGGGGAAGAGCTGCCTTCTTAGAGTTGACTGTGCTAACACGAATGCAATAAAGCCCTCGGGACATTTATTTGCTGATGGGGCACAACTCAAAACAGCTGTAAACATCCATTAATAACTGTAATATGGAATGTACAAAGTATGAATCTAGGAAAATTGGAAACTGTCAAAAATGAAAAGGGATGTATAAACATCGATATTCTTGGCATTAGTGAGCTGAAATGGACTGGTACTTTGAATCTGACGATCACATGGTTCACTATGTCGGGAATGATAAACTGAAGAGGAATTATATTACATTCATCATCAAAAAGAACATATCAACATCTGTTATAAAGTATAATGCTGTCTGTAATAGGATAATATTCATATGCCTACAAGAAAGACCAGATAATACCACTTTTACTCAAATTTACCCATCAACCACTAAAGCCAGTGATAATGAAACTGAAGAATTCTACCAAGTTCTTCAGTCTGAAATTGATCAAATATAAAATCATATGTATTGATAAGTACTGGCAATTGGAATACAAAGGTTGGAAACAAAGAGGAAGGATGAGTAATTGGACAGAGATGATGCTGGAGGTTGTATTATAGAAATTTGCAAGACCAATGATTTGTTCATTTAAAACACCTTTTTTTAAGCAATATAAAAGATGACTATACACATAGACCTCACAAGTTGTAATACACAGAAATCAAATTGACTACATCTGGGCAAAGAGTTAGTGGAAAAGCTCCATATCATCAGCCAAAACAAGCCAGAGGCAGATTGTGGAACAAACCATTAATTGTTCATATGCAAATTAAGGCTGAAGCTGAAGAAAATGAAAACAAGTCCATGAGAGCCAAAATACGACCTTGAATATATCCCACCAGAACTTAGAGATCATCTGAAGAACAGATTTGACACATTAGACACTAAAGACGGATGACCAGAAGAGATGTGGAATGACATCAAGAACATCATAAAAAGCAAGAAAGCAAGAATGAAGGAAAAGACCAAAATGGATGTCAGAAGAGACTCTGAAATTTGCTTTCCAGCATAGAGATGATACAACAAATGGAAGAAGTGAGGAGAGGCAAGAGCTGACAGAAAATGTCAAAGGTCAGCTTGAGAAGACAAAGTAAAGTACTATAACAAAATGTGCAAAGACTTGGAGTCAGAAAATCAAAAGGGAAGAACATGCTAAACATTTCTCAAGCTGAGGGAACTAGAGAAAAAGTTCAAGCCTTGACTAGCAGTATTGAAGGGCAAATTATTATTTATGTTTTATTGTGAATTATGTAATAGTTTATATGGGACAACATTAGCTTTACATTCATCCTATCGTATATATCGTTACACTGCCATGGTTACAATCCCCTCCATGCATCATCAAACAACCAAATGGTATACCCCACAAGCCTGCCCCTGGTCGGCAGCACACAGCCCCTCTCCCTCTCTAGGTCTAGTTTCCAGCAGTTCCATCTCTCCACGTCATAGTCTCTGCCTCCATCTCTGGCTTCACTGTTTCTCTGGGTAGGGTGCCGCACTCCACTCTTCTCCCTTGATGGCCCCAGGACCCTCCGCTCCTGGACTGCAAAGTCAACCACTCCCCTCCTTTTGCTACAAAACATCTACCTTTACATTTCCAACCCTCACAGTCATTCCTGATAGCAATTACTCACTATTGTACTACATACATGAGTGCTATCCACATCTCCTTTCATTAGTCCCTCCCAGTCAGATTGGATACTACTCAGTAGAGATTCTACCTTCCTCCACACCCTCTGGATCTAGGCTCCCTCTTGAAAGCTTGTGAACCAGTCACTTCTTGCCTTTGTAGCCGCCCCCCCGCCCCCCCTTTGGATAGTCCCATTTTGGATAGCCAATGTCCAAGTTGCCCATCCCTGTCTACTCTGTGTATGGAGAGGGTAGGAATGATCATTGCTGTGAAGATGTGTTCCCTCTTTTGAGCTACTGCATCCACAGGTGTAGGTCAATTCATCAAATTGTATCAGATTACTTTTTTTTTTTTTTCCTCTTCTTTCTTCTTCTACTTGAGCTCTGATCATATAGTCATTGAAGCCAGGTCGAGTGGGTATTATTTGCAAGTGTGGGTGTTCTTATGCATATGCCCTGTCTTATGCAGCTGGACACTTTATCTTCTACTTCTAGTCCTCTGTGACTATGTCACTGACTCTGGGTGCAGGAGTTCCTGGTCTGGACAAACTGCTGGCCAACCAGCGTCCACCTGGGTTCACAGGAGTCTACTGAATGTGGACTTAGCTTGCAGCTTCATTGCTGCTTTTATTTCCCCTTACCGGTGACCAACATGGGTCACCAGTCAGAGCACATGTCTGCTCGTGTATTCCCATTGAGTCTTGCCCTGATATCCCCTGGGTGAGCAACTTGCTTGTTATTGTAGTAGTCAGTTGGACTGCCATTATTGTTTTGTATTTTTCCTGTCGGTTTTTCTTTCAAGAAGTATCTTCTGTTCTAGCCGCTCCAGGCTGGTCCGCTTGTCCTTTCAAGTGGAAATTTCCAACCTCAGAAGATTCTGGATGGAGCTCAGGATTCCACCTATGGTCTTATGTAATGCAAAGGTTCTGCAAGAAGCCTCCTTCACTGGGCACGTTATAGCCCCATTTTAGATATTCCAATCAGTTATAGGCAGAAGATGGACTTACAAGCTATGATGGTATTTCTGGCTATTCCTATCTCTCCCTCTCAAGTGTCTATTTTATAATGGTATGCCAGGGAAACCAAGATTCAAAAGACAGCCAAGCATCTTAACATTATTTCCCCCCTTTTGCCCATTCCAACTATGTCTCAATTCCTCTATCATATAGCCCTGTTGTTCCAAGGTTGTGCATACATTATTTACCTCTGTCCCACTTAGCCTATGCAAACCTGCCTAATTGTTTTCCCATCTGCCTTGTTCTTCCAATTTCCTCCCTTAGTGTGTATTGCCCCCTCCATAGCACCCAAACCATCCTGTGTCTATTCCCTACCCTGTGCTCCACCTTCCCCTCCCTGTACATCCCGGTCACCAGCAAAGAGTTCCTCCGCCCTTTAGTATGGGTTATTTTTCTTAGTCTTTTACAGTAGTGGTCCTATGCAGTATTCCTCTTGTGACTGACTAATTTCACTCAACATAATGTCCTCAAGGTTCATCCACGTTATGTGATAGCTTACAGCTTCCTTGTTAAGGGTAGCATAATATTCCATTGTGTGTATATACCACAGTTTGTTTATCCATTCTTCTGTTGATGGGTACTTAGGCTGTCTCCATCTTTTTGCTATTGTAAATAGTGCTGCTATGAACATTGGTGTGCATATATCTACTCATGTTATGGCTTGTATTTCTTGTGGGTAAATACCAAGTAGAGGGATTGTTGGGTCATAAGGTATTTCTATTTCCAACCTTCTGAGGAAGCACCATATTGCTTTCCAGAGAGGTTGGACCATTTTGCAATCCCACCAGCAATGCAGGAGTGTCCCTTTATCTCCATATCCTTGCCAGCATTTATTGTCCTTTATTGTTTTGATCTTTGCTGTTATCGTTGTTGTAAGATGGTATCTTATTGTTGTTTTCATTTGCATCTCTCTAATGGCTAGTAATCGTGAACATTTCTTCATATGTTTATTGGCTGCCTGGATCTCCTCCTTGGTGAAGTGTCTGTTCATGTCCTGTGCCCATTTTTTAATTGGGTGGCAGTAGAAACAGAAAGACTTGCCTGAGTAGGTGACATTTAGGAAAGTAGTTGGGAGAGATTCATGGGTGGCCATAGTGAGGGAGAACATACAAATAGAGAACATACAATTGAGTAGCAGAATGAAGATGTGGAAAATGTTTAGGGACAGGCACAGCATTCAGTTTGACTGGAGTCTATGAGAGAAACCAAAAACAAGGCAGATAAATGAGTTGAGTGCATACAGAGGACTTTAAAATTTTTGCACCTAAATAATTTTTATAGAAAGGCATGACCCTTTCATATACTCTTTAAAAATCATTTCAAAATCCTACAAGGTAAAAATTATTATTCCTATTTTTTATAGCAAGAAAGTGAGTTCAGAAGATGGTCAAGGTCACATAGTTGAGAGTGCCAGGGCTGAGATTAGAAGCAAAGTATGTCTGGCCCTCAAGCCTTTTCTAGTGTCATACCTACCCTTGGAGGTAATGGAAAGAAGTTTTAGAAAAATGATAAGGCTGAAGAAGGAGGGATGTTCAACAGAATACAATCTTTATTTACAAAAATAGTCTATATTGTCCCCTGTCACCTGTGAGGTTACTATGTAGAACTCCTGGTAGAAGACAGCAGGGTCTCAAGTATAGTAAAGACAATAAAAATAGAAAGAGGCAGATTCTAAGGATTACAAATACAGAACACGAAG